TTGTCCAATTAATTTCTTTCTAATTTTAGTAGAGACGGGGTCTCGCTCTTGCTCAGGCTGGTTTCGAACTCCTGAACTTGAGCGATCCACCCGTCTCGGGCCTCCCAGAGTGCTAGGATTACCTACCAGAGTGCCACTGCGCCCAGCCCATTCTTTCTTAATACTCACATTTAACCAATTCGGCCAGTGGGAGATCCCTTCAAACCAGCTTCTTTGACCTTTTGAAACACTTGTTAGGTTCCCTGCTTTCTGGAACAAACTGCCCCAGTCTCACTTAGATTTCAGGATCAGCCATTTCTCAGGGGAGCCTTGGCTTAGTTCTTTTTACTGGGGAATGGTATTAGAGCTCTAGCTCGGGCACTACATGCACTCATTGCTACTGGGTGGCATTGCTTCTAGATCCTCTCAGTGGACAGAGGTAGGAAATGTATTTTTTCCTTAAATAATGAGTTCATATTGATATTTCCTATTCAGATTTAATTTCTTTGATTTTTTCTTATATCTCTTGTCTGTTTTGTATTTCCTCCCTTTCTTACACAAAAGGGAGCATATCATTGGCACTGTTCTGTCCCTTGACTTTTCATTTAATCTCTCCTGAGGATCATTCCAAATCTGTCCATGGAGACGTTTCTTGTTCTTTTTTATGGCTCAATAGCCCTTTACGAATCTTCTATTATAGTTTTCCAAACATGGACATTAGCGAGAGTCATGAACCCTCCTGTATCCATCACTGAGCCTCAAGGATTGCCACCACACGGCCAAGCTGCAACAGCACTTTGGCATCTAGCCACACAAGGTTTGAGGGGTGCAGTGAGCACGGGGCACGGAGGGCTGGAAACTTTCAGTCCAGTGACCGTCGAGGCAGGGATTCACACCTTGGAAGCCGAGCAAACCCACCTGTCCTTCATGCCTGCATCCAATCAGCTGAGTGTTTATCTCATGCCAGGCGCCGGGGGCATAGCTTCCACTGCTTTGTCTTTGCTGACAAGAACTGAGAGACACCAGTGGTCTCAGCCCACAAATGTGGGCAGAGATTACACGCCGTGTTGAGAGCAGAGAAAGGAGCAACTAACCACCCAGAGGTGTCAGGAAGGGATTCCGAAAACCTGAGCTGCATCTTTAGGGTACTACATGTGCAAAGGGGGGAGCTGGATGAATCCTGACGTCATCGGCCAAGATTAGAAGAACTGAGCTCTCCTGGTGAGCAGAGACACACTAGTCAGAAACAAGTTTGGTCCCCAGTGCCTGGGACATCCAGTCTCCACAGAGACGGTCGATACACCTGTGGGCCATCCTCACTGGGGTTCAGGTGGGCAGGCACCATTTTACAGAGGAGTAAACAAAAGCGGCCAGGCGAGGTGACTCACACCTGTAATCCCAACACTCTGGGAGGCCAATGGGAGAACCGCTTGAGGCCAGGAGTTCCACGAGACCAGCCTGGGCAAGATAGTGAGACCCTGTCTCTACCAAAAAAAACCCAAAAAACAAAAAAACCAACCAACCAAGAAAACCCGAAACAAAACATATATAAATCAAAGTAAAGACCCTGAGCCAACTCACAAGGTTTCTAAGAAGTACAACGGGCCCGGCTGCCCCGGTGGCTCCCGTGGGCCGGCCGTTAAAAAAAAAAAAATAGAACAGCAGCACTTGCAGCCTGGGCTGCCCAATTCTAAGCCTGTGCTAATTCCCTGAGACCCCCACTGCTGGGGCCCTGCAGGGCACGCGGTCATCACTGCTCCAACTGCACAGCTCTGTGGCAGGGCTCGGGGTAGGGAAGGGCCCAGAGGACAGCGAAGGGCAGTGGGGGAAAGACCTGCCCACAACCCCCCTTGAATGAGCCCCAGATGGGAGGAAGGCCTTGAGTTTGCTTCTCTTCTTGCTCTAAAAAAGAACACTGGCCAACAACAAACACTTGCAGAGTTCTTTACAGTTCATGAAGGTTTTGTATAGGTCATTTCACCGATTCCTCACAACCACCTTAGGAAGCTTTATTTCTGTGATATGACAGAGAAGGAAACAGGCTCCCAGGGGTTAAGGGCCCAAGACCACACAGCTTGCTGTAGACTGGGCCTCCAGACCACGGGTGCCGACTATACACTCACGGTTCTTTCCACCGAGCCACGTGGCCTCCGGCTCATGAGAGGGGCCCTCCCAGAGGCTGCGGGGCAGGAAGCCTTTTCAGAGACGTCTTGGGGATGAGCGGGCAGCAGCACCTCTCCCCAGACCTGCAAAGTCCTTCCAAGGAGGGAGGGTGAGAACCACCTCCTGAAGCGTCCCAGTGTACGTGGAGGGAGGGGTAAAGTAGACTCAATTTTTACTTTGGGGACCTCACAGGCAGAATTCGTGACAGTCCTCAGGTCACACAACAGTACCAGGCAATTTCAGAACCATCTTTCTAAACCTCCACCCGTTCCATGGAAGCAACACAGCTCTTCACAGCCCAGCTTCCTTCTCTGACACTCAGCACTTCCGGGGGAGCGGGAGGGAGGGAGAGCTGCCAAAGATCAATAAAGGTAAAAGGTCCCCTCCGGACTTTCGGGCTAGTGGCGGCTGGGAAACCTGTTTTGGCCCTAGGAGAAGCCCGGTGGCCACGGGCGCTGCCTGGGGGCTGCTGTGGGGCAGAGATAACACACAGAGGAAGGGCGGGGTGGCAGGAGCCCTCCCAGGAGCAGGGCTTTCCCGTAAACAATGAGCTGCCCCCGGCCAGAGGAGGAGGTGATTCATCCCCTCTCTGCTCTGCTCTTGCTGGCTGTGCTCACCGGGCACCAAGGGACCAGGATAGCCTTGGCCAGGTGCCGACGCCTCCCCTACCCGTGCGGTCAGGGATCTCACTCCAGCCCTTCTGGTAACTGGCTCGACTTCAAAAGCCTGGGTGTGTCCAAGAAGCGGTCTGGTCTGGGGCGTGCTCAAGTGGGCCCAAGGGAGCAGAGCTTTTGCGGAGAACTGGCTGGGTTTGGGGATCAGGGCAGCAGATAGGGGGAATATAGGGTCTCACCCATCCCAGGGGTCCCACCTGCCCATGGCAAGAGGCACACACAGAGAATGACATGGTGACTTCACGGGCCACCCCTCTGAGCAGCACCCTGCTGTCGCTGTCATCCCCCTGGCAGTAGTTCCAACCAAGAAGGCAGAGGGACACTTGAGCTTTTGAATTTGCCTGAAAGCAGACCGTAGGAGAGGCCAGTGCACCTGAGATGCCGGAATGTCAGAACACGGCTCTTTTAATAGGGCGACAGACCCCGAGTGGTGCATGGACGCTGTCTGCAGTGCTCCACTCCTGTGCTGCAATGTCCTCCTTCTGGCTGGAATGTCACACAGAAGCTCCTTTCAGGTGGCTTCTGGGGAGCAGGTCCCAGTCCTGAAATATACAAAGTGGCACTTCCCCAGTGGGCAGCGGTCACTGGGCTACACAGTCCTTTCAAGTCTCAGGGCAGCTCCTCAAGTCACTGCTTGGCCTTCTTCACAATGGTGCCCACGGCAGAGATGACAGTGGTCTTGGAGCCACTGGCGCTGGTGGTGACCGTCACGACAGCTGGCAGGGTGGCTGTGGTGGTGAGGATGGTGGGCTGGGCTATTGTCGTCACTGGGATGGCTGAGTCCCACTTGCTTTTTCTCTTTTGGGCATCTGGAGATAAAGCGAGAGAGTCAGGGTCATGAACAGCCAAAGAGCAGCGCCCTCCCCCTGTAGGCCAGTGGTGGAGCCCCGGCCCAGAAGGCCCAAGGGGCAGCCAGTGGACCAGGTCCCACCCCAGGCTCCAAAGCTGGTTCTTAAAGTCTTAGCTTACAAAGAGCAAGACCAGGCCTCGGCCCAGAACCACGTGGTATTTTGTCTCCCGTACAAGCCAGGGAAACCCCTCATTCCATCTGCAGTGTGGCTGGGGAAGCAGAGCTGAGCCCGAGCTGAGACAAGCCGCTTTCTACCTGCAACAGCAGTGCTGGCGGTGGTGGTGGTGGTGGCTGTGGCGTTGGTCGTGGTGCCTTTCTTGGTGCCTGTCACAAACTCAATCTGGAGGGGGAGAAGGAAGAGAGTAAAAGCTGTGCATCCAAATCCTTTTGCCATCCGTCTGCTCCCAGGGGACAGGAATTTGGCATTATACAAAGGAGGCATTGAAAATCAACTCTGCTGTGACCATCTTGGGGGAGGGAGAGGTGTCTAAAAAGAGCCTGAAGGGGCTTTTAACCACTCAGAGAAAAGCTTTCTAAAAAGCAGCGGGTCCCTCCCGGCATCACCTGGTCTCTGCACACGCCCGGCACCCCGCTGCCCTCCGCCCACCTCACATGCCCAGGACCGTTTGGCCAGGCCCCTCCTCCTCACACCCAGGAGGAGGCGGTGCCCGCCCGCACAGGGGAAGGACAGCTCCGGTCCCCAGGCGCTGCAGACACGTCCCTGCAACAAGCCTGGGGTTTGGAAGGGAGAGGGAAAGAGAGAGAAGGGAGATTTAATCAAGGGTTAAGAATGAGAAACCCCAATTATCCCTCACACCAGCTCCCATATTCCTGGCCCTGAGAAGGCCACCAGCACGCTGAGGCCCCGCAGCCCCTCTGCCTGGGGTGAGGGGAACGGTCTGGAGGCTGCAGCTGCTCAAGGAGGGTCAGGCCCAACCAGAGGTGGGAGGAGCCGGTGTCCTGATGCCCAGTGCTCCCTTGCTTGGAGACTCTGGTCACAAAGGGCACAGTGCCCAGAGACGTTTTATTCTTACAGCCAAACTGATACTACCTGAAGGACCCAGACCATACTGCTCAGGAAGATGTGGCCCTCAGAGTCCTAAAATGAGGGGGTCACTTGGCCATCGGCCATGGGACCTACAGGGTAGCACCCAGGCAGGTTGCTGAGATCAGCTCTGGAGACCAAGACACTCACAGATTGGAGCAAGCTGGGGCCCAGCACTCTCAGAAGGAAACATCTCCCTCCATTCAGGCCAGGGAGGGCACCGATGACCCAGAAGAGACAAAGCCACCAGGGCTCTGCAGTGAGGAAGGGAGCGGCGGGGAGGGCATAACGCAGAAAACCACGAGACTCCAGGAATGAAGCAAAGGTAAGAGGCCGCTGGCCCAGCAGCCTGTTCAGTGCAGGAGGCCCAGCGGAGACTGCACAGGGCATTGCCAGGCCGTGAAGCTGGGCCAGGGTAGGGGCAGCAGGCAGGACCTGCGCACTCCATGCATCTGCCTTTTCCAGCCAGGAGGCCTGTCATCACTTACTTTGGTTCGCTCCTTTTTGGCCTTTTCCAATTTGTCCATTTCAATCTTCTGGGCCTTAGCTACAAAGACAAGATCAACTGTCAGGCAAGCCCAGGAGCAGCTCTGGGCCGAGAGAACCTAGTGCACTCACAGGCTTAGTGTCCCCTTTGCATGAGGTGAAATGAAGCACCAGTCCCTGATCAGCATGGAGCAGGGGCCTGGGGCCGGGGCTGCTTGTGCTCTGCCTGGAAGAATCAGCTATCCCGAGCTCCAGCTCTGCTGCCTCATGGGAACACAGGCCCAGTGTGGACTACCTTCCCACTGACCAAGAGGAGCTGGAATTATGGATTTTATGTACAATGTTGGCAACTAACACAAATTAAAACAAGACAAAACTTGTATGGGCCAAACAAAACACTTCTACAGACCAGGATCTGGTCTTGTGGCGAAGGGGCCAGACCCTTGGACGTTCCTCTCAGTTCTCCCTAACAGGCCCCTTAGGCACGGGCTGTGCTATCGCTGGCCTCAGAACACAGCCCCTCTGCCCGGGGCATTCTGCCTACACTCGCCCAGCCCCCGCGCCTCCTCTTCAAACCTCAGCTCGAGTGCAGCTTCCCCAGCCAGGCCTTCCCACCCCTTTGGCCGGGTTAGGAGACCCTGCTTGCTGGTAGGTCCCCCGTATTGGCAACTCCCATTGCCAATAATCTCATCAATGTCGGAATTACTGGTTCAACGTTCTGAACCCTCTGTCTCCTTTGCTATGTCATAAGCCTTGTAAGTCAGGGATGGCGTCTGTCTCGTTCAAAACTATACCCAGCCCCTCAGACACGGCTTGATGTAGAGGACACCCTGAAATACGTGTTGCCTGGATGACTGACTACATGGGTGCATGGACAGTGGGTGGGTGGAAGGCTACCTAATGCCTCGTAGTAGGAGTCCTCAGACCAGCCATGGGGGTCAAACATATCCTGAAAAAGAAACAGTTAAAGCTGTAGTCAGTAGGGATGATCAGATGACAAATGACTTTGAAATCCAAGTCCCTCACCCAAGTCTTCCCCTGGACCTTCCTGGCCTGGGACCCAATCACCCAACAGCACAGGGGCTCAGCTGTCACCCGTCTCTAGCCAAGGGGTAGCCAGCAAAGCTCTTAAGAAGATGAGAGCAATGATGCACCTGTCCAGCAATGCCACAAGCTGGTCTGCAGGAGCAGGGAGGCTATACTTGGGCCCGAACCAGTCAGGGGCCAGGGACCAGGTCTGTCGCTGGAATCTCTTTACTGGACTATTTCAGAATAGCAAGAATAATAGAAGAGATGAGGACTGTGCTTTTCAACCAGCAGTGCTGCTACATGGGCCTTTCTGTGGCTACAGGGTCAAACCTCGTGCAGCAAGCACAGCACCCTAGGGACCCCATCAACCTCCAGCCCCTGTGGACAGGACGCACCTTTGGGTAGTTGGTGCCAAGCTCGTCAATGGCACAGAACTGAATCAGCTTCTCGTAGATGCTAAAAGCAGAGCAGCACAGGCATTGAGCAGGCGTTACTCCCATGTCCCTGCATGGCACCAGGACCACGCAGCTCCTGGGGCTGAGACAAAACCTTTAAAACCTTTAAACCCAGCTCAATTTTTCTAGGCAAACTTCCTGATGGGAGGACTGCCTGCCCCACTTCTGACCTTCTACCCTCCACCCTCCCAGGTAGATGGAACTGCTGGCTGTAGGCTGGGATGCATATGGGGTCAAGGTAATGGCTGCTTTCTGTGTCTCATCTGGATGTCTCTGACCTTTAGTTTGCATGGCTGAGTGTGGTGAGCTGGGCCAGGGTAGGTCCCTGCTGTCACATGCCACCCTCTTTTTAAGTGTCACCAGCTTGAGCATTAGATGGAGTAAGACCCACATATAGCTATGGTTCTAAACATCTCGCCTGTATGCAAGATTCAACTTTTTGGAGTTGGAAGAAGAACCTACAGTGATTGTGTATTCTGATTCCCCCATTGTACAGATGAGGAAACTGAGGCCTTGAGAGGTCATGTGCTTTAGGTGCAAAGCAGGACCAGGCCTCCCCCATCTAGTCCAGGTCTCTCGGCTTCTACTCTACATATTGGTTTATATGTTTAGTCTGGATCTTTTTTTTTTTTTTTTTGAGACAGTCTTGTTCTGTTGCCCAGGCTAGAGTGCCGTGGCGTCAGCCTAGCTCACAGCAACCTCAAACTCCTGGGCTCAAGTGATCCTTTTGCCTCAGCCTCCCAAGTAGCTGGGACTACAGGCATGTGCCACCATGCCCGGCTAATTTTTTCTATATATTTTTAGTTGTCTGGATCATTTCTTTCTATTTTTTAGTAGAGACGGGGTCTCGCTCTTGCTCAGGCTGGTCTCAAACTCCTGACCTTGAGCAATCCACCCGCCTCGGCCTCCCAGGGTGTTAGGATTATAGGCGTGAGCCACCGCGCCGGGCCTTTAGTCTGGATCTTAAACAGCAAACCTCTGGCTGGGTTAACACATTCTGCTGTGTCTAGTAGACACTTAGTGCGCTGACAGGTCTAGGTGATGGCTCCCTTGGGCTCAGGCGGGATCTGAGCTGGGCCTCTTCTCATCACCTCCCTGGAGGCACCCAGTCCCCGATCCAAAGTAAATAACTCAACTGACGCTGCAGGCTCATGGGAAACCTACCTGGGGTTCCGAAATTCTTTCTTCCTTTGGATAATGTAGTTCATATCCATTCCCTCCTTTATCTTTCGCTCATAAAGCTTCTGGATCTTGTCCTACGGAAGAGGAACAGAGTGTGTGCGTGACAGACCCCACCTCACCACCGTTCCAGCCTGTGGTCATGAGAACTGTGTGGAGGTGAATGTGAGGCCCCCAGAGCTGTATGACGCCCACCTCCAGCCATATTCTCTACCTGCCTTTATTCAGCGCTGCGCACAGTTTAGGCACACAGTGGAGAGGTGCAGGGTCTCAACACCGGTTTTCTATTAACGCGGGCTAAGTCCTCAGCAGAACTGTGAGTCACTGGAGACCTGGGAAGGGCTATGTCCTTTTGGAGGAAGGCAGGAGTTGAGTTTTTTGGATTTTGTGTCACAGATTTCCTAGATTGTCTTTTGTGGGGAGTTTACCAAGGGTCACCATCAAGGGCCAAGAGCTTGTCTCTCACTAAGACACCCCCCAGGTTGCTGCCCCGGCTTTCGGTGGGAAACTGGAGAATCACCTGGCAGGCATCCAGGCTCACCGACCGTGGCCGGTGCCACAGGTGTCCTCAAGAAGGGGGGTCCTGCGTGCCCACGGAGATGATGCCCAAAGTAGATGGCATCAGCCTTGCCCAGTGCCAATGAACACGCTCCAGACACCCAAGTCTCAGGGCAAAGCCACCTCTGAGGAGCAGGCTTACCGAGGATGGTGGGCACTTGCTGGTGTAAGATCCATCTGCCACCTTCCCCCGAGTGGCAGTTTAAAAAGGAAACATTTAAGACACCTCACCTGCGAGAGGAGGTGGGCAGGACTGGAGGTCCCACGTGACCCACTTTAGGAAGTTATCAGGAGAGGTGATCCACTCCCCTTGTCAGAAGCCACATCTTTCTACTGAGACTGGCTGGAGGAAGCACTGAATTGCAGAGAGGGGTTTGTGATACAATTACCAGGCAAGAGAGAAGCCAAAAGTGACAAATCTCTTTCCTCAACATTATCTCGTCAAAGGTAATGGAGGAGGGAGGCCTTATACAGGCAGCTTGGCAACTTGGGACAAGTTGGGAGATAACCTGGCTGTGTATCCTGGGCCATTAGATTGGTTCTACCCCTCAGATGAACTAAAATGTTTGCTAAAATGTCACGGTTTCCGCCCTTATTAAAATCTAAAAATGAGAAAAAAATATTCTGAACTCAAAGGCTCAGTGGTTGGTTGTCTCTGCCAGGCAAAGTGCTGGAGCTGTTCTTACAGGCTGGAGCTTGTCTGGCATGGTGGGTGACGCGGTCCTAGAGGGTGGTGGTGGGCAGACAACTCAGCCAAGGGAGGAGACTTCCGGGAAAGGAAGGGAATCTGCACTGCGCCCCCAGTCCTGACTCTGGCCCTCCCCAGCCTGCTGCATTCCTCAGCCCCAGGTCCCATTAGTCACCCATCCGTTAGGGTGGTGCCACAGGCTTGCTGTGTAGCCAGAGGCACCCAATGGGAGCTATGGGATCAAAAGCAGAGCAGGCGGACTGGGTGTCACGACCGTGCATTCTTGGGTGTCTGTCCCATTGTTAGCTACGAGGTCCCACTCACAGGGGAATGCATAGAAGGACAAAGAGAAACAACTCCAGAAGCTGAAATCCCAGCTGTCCCCCAAAGTCCTGCTCCCAAGAGAGTAACTGCACTAAAAGCTCCAAATCCTTGGGATTTCAAAACCCCAGACCAGGTCTGTATGAGGTTTTTCAGGCAAGACACTACTGAATTGGCATTTTAGGAATATTAGGATAGGAATCTTATGCATATAAATGCTTATGCTTTTGCTTTTCTGTAATGTGTTTATTTTACATTCAGATGGTCACTCAGTTTCTTAGCAAAGTTCTTACTGCAAAGTTCCCATTGGCTCAGTTGGGCTGCATAGAAAAGATATGTTATTTTCTCTGCTTAGGGTCAGGACCTCACTGAGGGCGAGCTGGGGCCCTGCTGGAGAACACTGTGGACGTGTGCGTGAGGCAGGGGGCAGACGAGCCAACTCCTGAGATCAGGCTCTCCCCACCTGGCAGTTCCTTTACAGTTCCTCGGGCCCCCTTTCCCTGCCATGGCCTCTTAAGGGTAAGACCAAAGCAAATCCCTAACCCAGGCTACCGAATCTGCACGGGCCTCAGCAGCCAAGCCCTGTGCTTACTTGTAAGTGATTTGAACATCTGCCAGGGGGTTCTGGAGGGATCTTGATTTCATCAGGCGACATGTTCCGGACTCTTTCAGAAAAGGAGGCTGTTAAGAGAACAGAAGGAAAAATTCTGTAGGTGGGGGGGTTGGGATGGGGACAGACATGGACAATAAACAGGCACACAGAATGTTTTCAGGAGGGTTAAATGCTACGAAAACAGTAAAACAGGGTGTTCAGGTGTGGCCTCTCTGAGAGGTGTCACCTGAGTTGAGAGCAAATTGACCAGGAGTCATCCATGTGCCAACTTGGGGGAAGAGAAGTTCAGGCAGAAGGTAAAGGCAGACCATAAAGAATGCATGCTACCAAGTCACAGTGTTAACTTTTAAGGAAAGAGTCTGTCCTCAGTGTGCTGGTAAATGTTTAATAACCAGCTGGAGGCGGGAGTTGAGGGAGAGGAGAGAGGGAGGAGCCATGATCTGCAGCATTTGCCAATTCCCGGGGTATAAATTCTCCTGCTGTGGCCAATTTCAAGCGACCCATGTGAAGTCACTGAACTCGGGCCAGGAAGAGATGTGCACAATCAGCTCACTATGTGAGCCAGCTCTAGGACTCCAGAAAGTCAGAGGTGCTCAGTGTCACCCTTCCTGTCTCAGGCTGACCTGCCCAGGCTGTAGGAGAAAGAGTTCAGGGTTCCCTAGGTTTCGGATCCCAAAGTGCCCAAAACTGCCTTGTGCATAAGTAACACTTTAAAAAAATCACCTGTTATCAGCTTAGGGTCTTTTAAGAAATTAAACCAATCAATCCTCTCTTGGCCCACCTCATTCTTGGGAACAAAAGGCCTGATTCTGATGTGAAGGGACAACTCCCTCAGAGATTTGCCACTGCCCACCCAAGTCTTGCTCTCTCCACTCCTCCTCCAAAGCTCTGGCCACCCTGGAACGGAAGAGTCCTGTTTTGGATCACTCAGACAATGCGCTGTTTGTTGTAGATTCTGCCTGTGCTCTTTAAAACATTCTCCCATGAAAAGGACCATACAATGAGCAAACAGCAGGCAGAGCAGGGTGGGGCAGGATGAAGGGAAAGAATGAATAAGCCACCACCAACATTCAGTAAGTACTTACTGGGTACCTACTGTGTGCCAGGCCTGGGGCTAAACCAGTGCTGACAATGGCTTCCCTGGGGCCTGAGTGGCTGCCTGGGCCTTTCCCTTCTCCCCAGGGCGGGTTAATGTTTGCTTAGCAGATAAGGTGCTTTGGTCTCATTGGAGTTCCACCGTTACTGTAAAGAACATAGTGCTGAGGAGGGCTGGGGACAGGCCCCCGGACTTCACCAGTTCAGCTGCTGCAGTACAAGCCTGTGCACACTCTGAGCCCAGGGTTGAGCCCCGGGCAGTCTTAAAACATGATTACATATGCTGATTTTCACTGTTGTCAGTGGATTCTCATTGGACATGCCCAGACCTGTCGCTTTGGGTGAGGGCAAGAGGACAGAGATGGGGTGACATATAGACTGGAAGTCCTGCTGTGGACCCGAGACGCCAGTGTAGCCCAAGAGCGGTTTCCACCAGGGGATGAAGTGCCTCTCTTTGCCCAGCACCTTCCTTCAGTATCCAGACTCTTCAACCAAGGGCGACGCCCAGATCTAGCTGGAGTTCAAGTCCCATCCTGACTTCCTCCTTCCTCCTCAGCCTCAGGCTCAAGAGGGTTGCAGAGGCCGGTGGAGGGTGGAATCGGCTAGGGAGGGCTGGTCCTCATATCTTATAAGCACCACTAACAGAAGCAAGGTGGGCCTAGCAGGTGCTGGGCAATAAACACTTGGGAGTGGGGTAAGTTCTTCCTTGGACTGATGAGAGCATGCATGCATGTGACAGAGACACAAAGAGTATCCTTTGGCACTTGCCAGGAAAGCCTTTTGGAAAAACAGGGTGTGACCCTGTTGCCATAGCAACCCAACCACACTATGAGGCTCAAATGGTATATGGTATGACAGCAGGAAGGGAGCCCATCCTGAGCCCGGGGCTAGAAACAAGAGAATTCCTAGGAAGTAACTGGCAAATAAAGAAAGGCACACATTCAGGAAAGCAAGATCAGAGTGCATTGTACAGATTTCAGGAGCAATCTTTCAGTGAGTCTCTCCTTCCTAAGCCCGAGAAAGCATCAAATGTAGAAGGCATCAGCCCCACAGAGCCTCAAACCATTTTCCCAAGAAATACATCAAGCAATGTGTCCACAGTTTGGAAGCAGTGCTCCCGCCTATGGTTCCTGCCTGGGTCTGCTGGGGGCATTCTAGAAGGGCAGCAACCCTTAGGACTCGAGCCTGCTGTCAGCGTGAGTTACCTGCGTGCACGCCCAAGTCAGAGAACACCCAGTGTCCGCAGCTGCTCAGGAGTCTGAGCAGCAGCAGTGAGTGAGACGGGCTTATGAGAGGGCACAGGGAGTGCAGTGAGCAGGCCGGGGGGGACTCCAGCAGGCAGTGGAGTGTCCCCAGTTTAAGAGCAACATGGGGACCCCAAATGGACTGCCACCCCAGCACCACTGTTCTAGGCACAGCTGTGGGCACGGGTGGGGCCCCTGGAGGGCAGGGACAGCGTGTGTATACCAGCTCTGTCAAGGAGCTCCCGTGCTGGAGACGTCTATGAGGTAGACTCTGCTCTCTTGCTTGCTCTGCTAAAGCTGTACCTCTCTACACAGATGCAAGTGCTTCCCGTACCAGTGGAGCAACCTGAGTCCTGACACCCAGAGGAGCTAACGAAGGAGCCGAGTTCAGGCAGGGGGCAGATAGGCACAGCATCATGAATGGAAGCCCTCTGCACTCAACTAATTCTGTCCTTGAGAAGAAGAGCTAAATAGTTACTATTCAATGAGAAATGGTAGCAGTATTCAAAACTATGCAGCTTTAAGATCCATTTGTGTCCTGCATGGGTCAATGTATAAACAAACTGTGGTGTATCCCTACAATGAAATATTACTTAGTAAGAAAAAGAAAGTAACATAGATGAATCTTAAAAGCATTTTGCTAAGCAGAAGATGCCATGCAAAACCCTTTGATTCCATCTGTATCTTATCTGGGGGTGATTCTGTCCCCCCAGGGGGACATTTGGTAATGTCTGGAGACATTTTTCGTTGTCACATCTGGGGGAGGGAGAGAGAGTACTTCTGGCATTTAGTGGGTAGAGACTAAGGATGCTGTTAAACATCCTATAATGCACAGGACAGGAAAGAATTATCCAGCCCAGAGTGTCAATAGTGCCAAGGTTGAGATCCTGATTTATATGAAAGTCTAAAATAGGCAAAACTATAGTGAGGAAAGTAGATTGCTGCTTGCTTGAGGCCAAAGGGGGAAACTGTCTGCAAAGGGGTGGATGGGCAGAAGGGAATGTTTTGGGGTGATGCAAATAATCTGTAGCATGACTGTGGTGGGGGCTAGAACAACTATTTACATACGTCAAAATTCACCAAATGGCACATTAAAATTGGCAAAACTTACTCTATGTAAATTACACCTCAATAAAGCTATTTTTAAAAAGTGGCACGGAGAGAGAAAGTGACAAGTTGGCTGTGGAAGAGTTTGGGGGCTGAGACAGCTGATGCCCACATACGTTCCACCGCTTGCCTGACACCACTAGCAAGAGCGAGGGTGCACGGACAGGCTGCCCTGTCTGCTTTGACCCCCTAAGAATGAACAGCAGGGCCGGCTACAGTAAGGGAGGGGAGAAGAGGCCCAGGCTCCTGTCCATACCTGGCTCTGTAGACCACCCACTCAGGACAGGTTGCTGGCTTCCCAGCAGACGTGTGCCCCATTTCCTCTGCCCTCAAAGCCAATTGTTGTGCCCCCACAGTGCCATTTTCTAAAGAGCAAACTCTAGGTTTTAGGAAAATCCTAGCTTTTATAGAATTTGAAATATTCAAATTCTACTGATCAGAGAACCCAGAGATCACAGCAGAGTCCTGCTGAGAGCCTGGGCTGCTCAGAGTCATCACATTCCTGTCCAGTCATTCTTCAAAATACAAAGACAATGAACTATTAATATTCCCAGCTCTTTTAGTTAGTGAAAGATAAAACGGGCTCTCTATCTTCCACCCCCAGCAAAAGGGTTCGAATCAGAGAAAGGACAGGTGAGAGGGGCTGACTGCTGGAATAGCACTTCCAGGCTGAGCCCCTGGGCTCTGAGCCCCCAGGGTGGGAGCAAGGGAGCATGAATGCAGGCACACAGGGCGGGCTCTGCAGGACAGCCTTCCGAGGCACGAGGCACGAGGCACGGCCACAGGGAGCAGGAACCCTCGTTGTGAGGGTTAGAGCAGGCAGGGAGAGCTGGTAATGGCCACCACAGAGAGGGAGGGTCAACTCCACTGTGAAGTCTGGATTTAGACACCAGGAACTTCCCCTGGGGGTCAGGCTTTGGGAACCATTACAAAGTCCACAGCCAAACTAAAGGAGCTGAGGGGCTTTCTAAAAAGATTAACAGAGGACTTAGATGATGCGTGCTGTTTTCCAGAAACATAATGTCCCTGCTCCTCAAGTCACAAAAGTCCCCAGACTTCAGGGCTGTGAGGCATGTTCCCGCCTGGGGACAGAGCAAAGTGCCAGCAGAGGCCACATGCTGACTCCCTGAGCAACATGAACACGCCAGCGGAGATGGGAGGAGGGGCACAGACCAAGACGCCCTCCTGGCTGAAGGGGCCCCAAATTCCCCCTCGACAACATTGGCAGCTGACCAAAGCCCAATAAAACACACCATGAATACGATTTTCAAAGAAGAATTGTTCCCCAGGCATCCTAGGAAATGCCAAAGGCCCTGAGAGGGAACATGAGGGACGAGGACTCTCAGCAGAGAGGAGCCCTGTAGAGCGGCAGGCCTGGATGGGCACGGCACCCCCGAGTACTTACCAACTAATTCCTGGGGGTCTCGCTTTTCTACTTCCGTATTATCCTGCAAAAGAGAAACAGAAATGCAAGGAGGTAAGGCCAGGGCTCCTGAGCCACAGTTATTCTCTCACTGAGACCACTCAGGGTTTTCAAAGGAGAAAAGGTAAAAGGACCATCAGGAACGCTAAAGGGGAGCCAATGCTTTGGGGCCTTCTCATAGCCCAGAGCCACCGACGCCCCTTCTCTCCTCACAGCAACCGGATGCTCCAGAGCCCTGGTTGGTCTCTCCTTCCTGGTCACTCCCTCCAGCAGTGCTCACCACCACCAATGCCGAGGAGAGCAAACGTCACCTGGATGACCTGTACCCTGCCTGCTGCTCTCCCCCGGGTCGGAGGAAGCTTGCTTGAACAGAGCACAGAGCACCACCGCCTCTACTGCTGGAACTGAGGAAGCAAGAGGTGACTGCTTTGTCACATCAGACTCCCAAGACAAAAACACAAGTTAGCTGCTCCCAAGAGACTTTTTTTATCTTTTAGCTTGAATAAAAAATGGAGATTTTATCACAAGGATAAAGGGATCACTCCAAAGCAAGCATGCAATTTGCCTTTGACAAGTGACTGACTAGGCTCAGAAAGCCCCAGGCTCTGGGCAGCCTCCGTCTGCCTCTCTGGCTCTCTTTACCCTGGCTTTATGTTCTCTCCAAAGAAAAGCTTTCTCCAATCCTTAATAAAAATCACTGCCCCACGACACAGCCACGTCCACACGCCCTGCAGAAACCTAAGAGCTAAGGCTTCTTATCAGACACCATCTGGATTTCATTGCTCCAGAGTGAAAGCTTCCTCTAAACCAAATCAACACCGAGAAGGCAAGGGTCCAAGCCCCACATCACAAGCCTTCCCTTGCCTCTGTTGTTCCAAGTATGAAACGGTGAGAACTTATCTGTTTTCCCCATTTCTGGCCCCTCAAGCCCAGTTAGGTCAGTGATCTCACGTGCCACAACACGCTAATGATCAAAATGGCAAAAGCTGAGTTCACAGAAAGTTGTTGGATCTCATTTCCTTTCCCTCTGGTTAGCAACGGAGGAGCTAAGACGGTAACAACTCTGCAAAAAGACCTTCACTGAACAGCCACAGAGCTCCACAGGCTCCACTGACACAAAGAAATGCCACCCCAAGCCACATCTCAGAAAAGAAGGTTCAAGGCAGGCTACCCAGCTCCCTCCCGCTATGGCTCCATGCCGAGACCAGACCAGTAGTTCTTACCCCTTCCCCAAAAAGTCCCTCCTGATTCGGGGACAGGCCAAAATCCCTACTCCTCTGAACACTGCAGCTATTCATTCAACCTGGAAGGGCACAATGTCCAGGCCAGGCTGCTTAGCAACCCATCTATTCTGGCCACCGCCCCCTGCCAATCAGGTGGGCAGAGAGGAGGCTGGGAGCGGGTGGGGGGGCGGGCCTGGAGGACTGCCATGCCAAGTTCAGGTTGGAGTCATAAATCAGCAGCTCTATAGAGAGTACCAGTCTCTCAGGGGGCAACAACAACCCTTTTGTAGCAGTGACTCTGAAGATACCCATGTTACAGAATGTGTCAGTAACAAAATGTGGGACTGTAAAATGTCCTTAAATTTTCCCTCTAGGGGACAGCTTTCTGGGTGCTAACTATGGGAAAACATCAGCTGGGTGTATCTTCTCTCCCCATAGCCAGCTGGCTGGTCATTCGGGGACAGACCCATTAACTCCTCTGAAGGCCCCCACTTGCCCCTTCTCCTGGCCTGAACCGCAGAGCTTCGGAGGACGCTGGGTCCCCACACTGGAATCCCAACGCGTCCAGCCCAGAGTCACAGGAAGTTAGTCAACAAGTGTGCAATGTCTCTTCAAAGGAAAAAACACCTGCTACTTCAGGGGCTCCTTAGGTAAATAAAGAGGCCAGGAGCCTCCCCATGGCTTCTTGCAGCTTTTGTGACTCTGGGGTGGAAAGGGCGTGTCAGGGCGTGTGCAAGTGTGGGGATCCTGCATTTCACAAGCGCCTCGCCAGGCTTAGCTGAGCTGCTTTAGTAACATCTCGGGAAGAAGGGAGATGATGGGACAAATCATAGACAGGAAGTGGGTCTTCTTTTAGTCTTTCCCTTTGGCTCTCTTTACACTGGCCTTATGTTCTCTTCCATTCCCCCCAAATTAACCTTTCTACACTTTAAAAAAAAAAAAAAAGGATGAACTGGGTAGAGTTGGTTTCAATTTGCCTACTAGTCTAATCTTTCTTTGCTTTTCTACCCTCGTGGCACAAAATAAGGGTGAGGTGTGCCCAGAACACACCCTGAACCCACGGGGCTGCGACTCTTACTCAATCCTGAGCCCAACACCCAGCTTCCCACAGCAGCACCCAGCCCTACACGCCCGGTATTTTCATTGCCTCCGAGCAAAGTGCTGACCAACAGACTGTGGACACGACTCCAAGTTCAAGAAGATTCTCCTGCCTTGAGAGAATCCTATAAGCCAAACGTATTAACGAGCCTGCCCAGCGCTGAAGCTGCACAAGTCAGTGTGCCTCGGGTAGCAGCCAGAATCCCAGCACTGCCATCTCCTCTCAGACTTCAGAGTCTGTGTTGGTTCGGATTCCCTCTGGTGTCCAGGCAGCCTTGGGACCAGGAAGGCTGTAAGAATCAAACAGTGGGAACCTGCCTCCTGCTGGCCACACCTTGTCATGTTTTAGAATATAATTCTGCCCTGAGACCAACAAGCTGATTGTGAGCCTGCTGGGCCCCTGGGTGTCTGTGTCACTGTACCGAGCTGCTCCTGAAGAAAGACAACAACCCAAATTCTCTGGATCCCAAAGTGTCCACTCTGCCCAAACAGCTTAATCCCACCCCACAATGAAGGGCCTGGAGCCACTGCAACACTTGGTCTTCAAATGGAGATGGGTCCAGGACATTAGCACCACTGAGGAAAGCTCAGTGAGAACATGAGGATGGTGATGAACATCCCAAAGATGCTTTTTAGAACCATTTATTTACACCTAACTCTCCATTGAAGCAAGTGGAGGAATGGGAGAAGGGGGGAAGAGGGGAGAGTTACAAGGATGCAAGAAAAGGCAACAAGAAACCACTGTTCCTCTTTTCTTCCCCCAAAGCAGTGTTTTGAAATGCACAAGGGACACCAGTCTTGACTTGTATGAGTCACCCCTCTGGCCTCCAGGTGGAGATTCTCAGTTAGTCAAAGTAATGAACTTAGCCTGGAGGTCTATATTTTAGACATTTGTTCGCATCAGCCAGAAGGCGTGGAACCCACATCCTGGAGACACGCAGGCAACAGCGCAGGCCCCTCAGAACAGACCCAGTTTATAAGGAAGATGAAAACAAAGCATCTCACTTAGGAAAGAAAAGCAGCACCTAGGAGAAGAGATTAGGTAAACCTCTTCAGCTTCCTATTCAAGTCCAACTAAGACACAGGAAGAACAAAAAACAAAACCCACAGCTTTCCAATAAAAGCCAAGTTAAAAGACAGAGGAGGGAGGAAAGAACAAGAAGGGCTCAAATGCTGAGCTGGTCAAGGAAACAAGCTCTGAGGCCAGGACTGCTCTTCCGTCTGTACCCCTCCAGCTTCCCCAGGCTTTACCTGAGACTAAAGCCCCAACAACCAAAGCATGACCTGGCTGCGGCGGCTAGGACTGCCCCTGCAGAAGAGTGATCTGCACCTGCCCATTTGGTTTCTTAATGTGACTGAGACTTGTAAGACGCAACAGCCATGGCTGTAGGTTGGTGGCAGGGGCCACGATGTTCTCAGGAATTACAGAACCTGTAGTGTGGTTCCCCCTGCAGAGAAAACAAAAGCCCAGCCACCGATGAAGCTCAACGGAGCAGAAGGAGGAGGTAAAAACAATACAGACACATGAAGCTGGACGAGCTGCCATGTGAGCTGGGCAAACCAAGTCCTGATTAAGAGAATGGGGGTTTATTTACAGCCAACAATGCCTCACCCCCCTTTGTGGGGCTTCCTGGAACCAGCCCCACAAAGCACACACAATGCTCCAGCATCAAACTTGAGACACAGCGATGGCTGCTTCCAGTATCTAGATCCTGCCAAATCTAAGTGCCACATTTTCTTCCCAGCTTTGGAAGTATTAGGCACAGAGAGCGTGCTCTGAACAGGGGCATAGGGCAGCCTCTCCCCAAGGCCGGGGGCAAGAGTGCTACAGACTGGGTGTTTTCTGTTGGACAATGTAATCCTGCATCTTACAAGTAGGTGGTGGCTGGAGAGGCAGATTAGTAAAATAATGCCTCCAAACCTTATGATCCCACAGAGCTGGGACAGCCCACGTCCTGATAAGGTCTCACTTAATGAACAGAGCATCTATTTAAAAAAAAAAAAATCAGAGACAGGGTCTTGTTGTCACCCAGGTTGGAGTGCAGTGGTGTGATCATTGCTCACTGCAGCCTCAAACTCCTGGGCTCAAATGATCCTCTTGCCTCCAGAGTAGCTGCAACTACAGGTGCCACGCCCGGCTAATTTTTTTTCGTTTTTTTAGAGACAGGGTCTTGCTATGTTGCCTAGGCTGGTCTCAAACTCCTGGCCTTAAGTGATGCTCCTGCCTTGGCCTCCCAAAGTGCCAGGATTACAGGTATGAGCCAGTGCACCTGGCCACTATCTACCTTAAAAATGAATCCTCACTGTGGCCCACAAGCCCTGAGGATTCCCTGCGTGCCATTTCAGCTTCCTTCTCTCTCTCTGCAACTGCCCAAGACCTTTACAATACCTGCTCCCTGACATAGCCCCCTCCCCACCCTTGCCTAGCAAGCTCTAGGCAGACCTCAGATCCAGTCTTCCTCTACCCTCATGGCCACCTGGCCAATGTGGATATACTGCCCTACCCTGAGCACTCACAAACTGTCTTATCTATCACCAGGAACAGTCAGTGCCTGGCCCATGTAGGTGCTCAAACACTGAGATCTCTCTCTCTCTCTCTCTCTCTCTCTCTCTCTCTCTCACACACACACACACACACACACACACACACACACGTTCTTTTCTAACCAGCCATTGTTGGTTTTTCTTCAGTCCAGTTTAGGTT